AACAATCGGTGTAAACTAAGCCAGAGAAGCTGTTTAGGTCCTAGATACTCTAGGACTTAGGTCCTAGATACTCTAAAAGTGCCTAAAGAATACCTAAGTCCTAGGATCTAAGTTCCAGAGTATCTAGGATCTAAACAGCTTCTCTGGCTTAGTTTACACCGATTGTTTAGTACGCGTACCAAATACTAAATCTGCTTCTGCGATAGGTATAAATCGTTTAGTGTAAAATCTACACCAATCAAAGAAGCTGATTTAGTACTTGGTCGCGTACTAAACAATCGGTGTAAACTAAGCCATATACCCGAGTCGAAATTTAAAACCCATTATAAACCTCATACATGGTTATTTGTACCTCTAATAATGTTCCTTGACCTACAAGTTCTATCTTGAAAGTGTTATGTCTTCTTTTGGCCTTTCTTTAATCTTGTTGTCCTAGAAAACCCTTATTTTTATTAATGTTAAACATACAATTCCTACTTTCGTTCTTACAACTCCTACCTCTTTTGAATCTCCAAATCTTATCGAAATTTCTAGCAATAAAAATATTAATATTCAATCTATAATTGAGTTCAATTTCTATTATATCAGATTAATATAATAAATGTTATAATCAGAGGCGGACTGGACAGGAGAGATACCGAGAAATTTCTTGGGGGGCCCTATGTTTTTGAGGACCCCAGTGGCCCCCAAATCCAAATTTTTTTAAAAAATTTTTTATGCAAGAAATTAATAATCTAAATTCTAAATTATCAGATTGCGACAGTTGAATAACGACGTGCTTTCCTTCTCTAACCAAGATAGCGCTGAGCACGAGTTAGCGTTAGTCAACTATCTGTAGTGCGTCACTGTCTTTCGTGTTCTCCTTTCATTTTTTTTTATAATTCGTCTGAAAGGTTATGGCAACTGACAATTTATAAAAGAATATTTACTAAAAGCCAAAGAAATATTATTTTATTATTAAATAAAATACATGCACTATACATGGTTATTTATTTTACGTATGCTACCTTTACTACAATACAAAAAATTTACAATAAAAACAACAACAAACAAATTAAAGGACAAAATATCTCCAAATTTCATTAAAACACGTTTGACCTTAAACTAAAAAAATTTTTTGCCGCGGCGCTTTAGAGTGGGGGCCCTTTTTACAAATTTTCTCGATGGGCCCTGGTGTTCCAGTCCGACCCTGGTTATAATATAAAATAAATAATAACAAATGAATAGTAAAAAATATTTTTAAAAATTAAGTGCAACTCAGTATTATATTTAGTATTATAAATAACTAAAAATTTATTCGAATAAACAAAAAACAATTAAAATTCAAAATTTTATTTAATATTTTATTACATATCTGACCTATAATTCAAAATTATTTAATATTCTATTACCACATTTACTTTATTTATATTTAATGCATATCTTAATTTCAATAAGCGCAATACATTAATTATGTAATTTACTTAACTGCAGATAGATATGTAAGAGATAAGTGAATATTATTTATATAATATTTGCTTATAGTAGCCTATTTACAGTTAAGCAAATTATAATAATTAATATATTGTTTATTGAAATCAAGATACATTAAATGCAAGTAGAGTATATGAGATAATAGATTATTAAGTAATTTTGAATATTTATTTTCTAGAAATACATATTTATAGAACCTGGAGCCTTTTTAGAGGTTATCAGTAGATACTCTTTTGAGCTTCCACATGGAAAAAACGGCAATAAGTAACAATTTTTAGTATTAAAGGAGGGCAATAGCCAATGTAATGTTATATCTATATATATGAATTAAAGCTTACATTGGTTCTCCAAATTCGACAAAACTTGTAGGTTTAATCTAGGCTAAAAATTTCGACTCGGGTATATACACTCAAAAAAATGATCTTCCAATAATAGCTAAAATTTTCTAGGTGTAAAAAATTAACTAAAACAGATAAATAATTAGCAACTGTTGTGATATTGCATATGTAATTACTTAATCAGTTTAGATGACAGAAACAGAATATATATCTGTATTGTTTGTGAACTTTAAAAAGAAAGTTTCTCTAAAGCGCCTATCTATATAAGATCAATCACGTGTTAGAATGCAATGCATAACATTTAGCAATGGTACCTAAATTTTTCAGAAGCTATTGCTAGAACATTACTGCTATAAATTCTATATGTGACAAACAATGTTTTCACAGATACGAAAAATAGCGATACATTTTTGTTGCGATATCTAGAAATCTAACTACATCAGCGAAATATTTTTTTGAGTGTACTGATGAGCATACAGATAAATTCAATCAAATCTAGAAAAAAGGCACTTAATATATGTACACGGAAAAAAAATTTGCTGGCAGCAAATTTTACGCTATTATAGCAAAATATGTTAATTATTATATGAATAACAAAGAGATTTATTATAGATGGTAATTTTATTTGCTGCACATAATTTTGTTACATTTGCAAATTATATAGCTATTATAACAAATTTATTTTTACATTGCTCTAAGAATTTGTATTGGTAATGGCAATTTTGCTGCATTAGCAAAATACATTTGTTATAAATAAATTATTTTGTTGTAGCAGCAAATTAATGTGCCAGTTATGAACAAATGTACTCAACAAAATTTATCTATTCTACTAGTAAAACAGATTTTGCTGATATATTTGAAAAATTAGAAATTATAGCAAAGTTTTGTCGCTATCATATCTAATATGCAATAGCAACGACGATTTTGCTGCGATAGCAAATTTTTTTTTGTGACTAGTATATTCGACAGAGTTCGTTATTTGTTAATTGACTTAAATTTAGATTGGGGAAAAAAATTAGTGATTTTTTCAAAGAAATTCACAGAATCAAGAAATGAATTCGTACACATATAAGTGTTAGTAGCGGGCGGGTCGTACGCCGGTTGCCCGCCTACCTGGTGTTCTGGCGCATTGGAACGGCCTCCGCCTCTCCACATAGAATTGGTGGAAGTGGTGGGACTTGGTGCTCTGAGAAGGGGATTCGGAAGTGAGGCAGGCGCTTCCCGCTCAACTCAGATCGTTGTAGAACGTGAGAGCGTGCGCGTCTGACGTAGCCTTTCACCCTTTCGCGCCGCGGTTTGACCTTAGAAAAGCCAGCTGATCGTTCGCGAGTTAGAGTTCGTTCGTTTACCTTTCGTCGCCGAGGTTGACGATGTTAAAGCGTGTCGTCGCAGCATCGATGTCGGGCCAATGAGCCCGGTGAAACGAAACGACGCCACAAATCGGCGGCAACTACCGGCGCATCGAGTAACATTCGATCGTGCGTGACAGCGCAGCCCTTTCCCCCGCTCCTGTATCCCCGCTTTCGTCCATCTATGATACACCCCACTCCATCAACCTATCATATTTCGATTCATCCCCCTCTCTCGTTTATCCTCTCTTCCTTCCGCTGCCCTTCAAGCATCATTTCCTCAGAGTTATTCGAAGTACAAACATCGTTCTCGTTGTCATCGGCTAGATTTGCACAGATATAAATACGTATACATATCTCTATTTGTACTTGATCTTATAAAAATTAATTGTGTGTGTGCGCGTATATTTCGTGCTTCTTCGGAAACAACACACTGTTACCGCGGCCGTAGCATTGTATGCACGTACGTATTTTGAAACTTGCTCTTTAAGGCAAAAAGAGTAAAAGGATAATTAAGAATAACAAGACGCGAAATATAAGCGAGAAGAAGGTGGCGAGAGTGACGAAACTGTGTAAAAACATTCATCGATCTTGTTGTCGATTTGAAATGCTACTTTGATACATTTATTTCTCGTAGAGCGTGAAGTTTCCGACGGTACTTATTCGCGACGGAATATTTCGTATTACACTTTATTCAGTTCGCAATCACGATTACGATTGTGCGCACACACTTGTCGCACCACCGTGAATCGCATTTTTGCGAATTTTCATAACGCGTACGCGTTTCGTGTGTCACCGCGTCACAAAAAGCAGCCAAAATTCGGGTTAAAAATCCGGATCCGAGGAAAGAGTCCTCTGCAAGTAGAATGGATCCCGGTAGAGATCCGGATCAGGACCGGGACAATCCTGGTGGAGGTATGGCTAACGGAGATAACGAGATGAATGGAGTTAACGGGGCCAACGGAACTAATGGACAATATCGGTCACCAGAGGTAAATTTTTTATTTTTAATTTCTTTGTTTTTTTTTTTTTTTTTTTTTTTATTGCAATGTGCGACTTTGCAGCAACTTTTATTCTGTTCTACATTTTATGTATACATATTTATAGTCCATACAAATTTGACGCATAAACTATAAGATAGCTATTGTCAAATTATTATAATTTCATTATTATTAATAATATAATTAAATCTCTTTACAAAAACGTGTGTTACCCCATAGAACTTAATTTAATTACCACTGCTATGATATCTTGTCACTTTATCGTTTTTTCTTGAGTAAGATTGTTGTTTATCGCGTTTTTTTAAATCCATGTCGAATAAAGGTATATTTTATAATTTTTTTCTGTTTCTTGATTCTGAATTGTAGGAGATTCGCATTTAACAAATTTTGAAGTTGGGTAAGTGAGATCAGTACAAAATTTGAATTTTTTAATATATCAATCAATATTTTATATTTGTAATTTACAATTTGAAACGGTTAAATACATTTGGTGTGCGTAGATTTGAAATAGATTTACATTGTGACTCAACTTCGATTTTAAAGTGATTTATGATCTGTCGTTCATTTTGACCATGGGTGTCAGATTTCAGGTTGAATGTTAGGATTGTTGGATTTTTTGCTAAGACTTGAAAGAAGGTCCTTAATATGGTCAAAATGTATACAATTGTTAGTTACGCTTATTGTGCGAGAATCTAATCTCGGAAAAAATTTCAAGCAGTAAGCGAGTCGACGAATTACAGTTAAATATTTTATTTGAAATATCTTTTTAAAAACACTGAGCTGGAATTGATCAGTTCGTGTTTTGTTAATAATAAATTCGATTGAATACACTAATACGCCAATTTGCACTAATTGGTACAAATTAAATATTGTATAAAATTATGTAAAAGTACAATATAGGTATATAGTGGATTAAGTCTGCGAGGTATAATTCATCATTTTATTATGATCTTTAACAGAACATATGCTGGACATTGTAAAATATTTTATATTTGTATAGAATAGTTATAGAAATTTCCTTACACATTAATATATTCAACCGAGTTTATTATAAATTTTTTAATATATTATTGCTTTTTTGATAAAAAAGATATATATGCATGTTATCCATATCGTAACACAAACTGTCTTGTATTTTTTTAACGCAAACACAAATTTTTTGTGCGCTAAATTGACATTACATGTAGCCTGCTTGCAAGAATAAATCGATCCTTTTCTAATCAGCCAAATCTTTGTACTGTTTGGTCAAATTGCTTCGTTAAAATTTTTAATTATTACTAAACAGTTCTATATAGTAGAATAAAGATGCAAAATAAGCCACTACATTCAAAAAAAGTTTGATCAAAGATGTTATATTGATGCAAGAAGTTTGTTGAAGTTTGTCTATAGAAATTTGTTAAATAAATTTAAAGACAGAATTACAGGGTATTAAACTAATTTTTATTAATTAAAATAGTTGTCATTAATTGTAATATACTTTTTTTTTATTTTAAAAGAAGTTTTTATACAGACACACAATTTTATTGCACTAAATAGAAATTAATAATTTTATCTAAAATATATTTCACGGAAAAGCGACAAACATTTTGCATCAACATAATAATAATAATAAAAAGAAATGCCAGATAATCGAATCAATTAATTATTTATGTAGATACAAACAATGCTTTCTGCAATCTACTCTTGTTTGACGAGCCGTTCATATAAGTTTTCTTGCAATTTCACGACAAAATTCTAACATAAAATCTTATATGAATACCGATAAACTTCGACACGCATTCAATGGATTGAATACATATTTAATATGTACGATTGTGATCGCGTCGATAGAAATACGTGGAAACGATTCAGTCGTGCGTCAATAAGGCGATATTTATTGACAAACAATACGAATCTCGCGTAGCACGCGTTTACTCAGAGAACGTCTCCATATAAATATGTTTTATGTCCTTGATTATTATCGTTTTCATAAAACTTGTTCAAAAAACCATTTGTCGAGGTATAAAGAAAAGAGAACGTAAATTAAAGAAGCACATCTGCATACATAATTTATAATTTAATTAGTCTACACATATACATACACACGTAGAAGCATCTGACGTCTCGTTAGTAACTTTTCACCACATATTTAATATAACAACTTATAAATTTGCAATTTGTTAATGATTTTAATTTTTTAAGTTTGACTTTAATTACTAAGAGAATTAAATTTATTGAATTTGTTTTTAGAAAAATTTAACGACTAAAATAATACTGTATATGAAAAGCTATCAGATAATAGAATTTGGTATCATAAATGGCAAAATTGATAATACTACTTTTAGCAAAGGATCGAATTATTCTTACAATTAATAGTATGTATTTATATGGAAATATCACTGCAACAAATTGTATGCTCAATTTTATCACAGTGAAAATCATATTGTGCTAAACAAGATTCTCGATTTTTTAATATGTCCAAACTGATATTTATAATCATACGAGAAGTATCTCGTGAATAAAAAAAAATTGGAGTAATAGGAACTTAGTATTAGCATTTAAATATTTCGTGATGTAGGTAAGTGTTCCGTGCGCGGAGCAAATGATTGCTGCAATCTGTATTAATAGCGGTAATTTATTTGAAATTTCAAGAAACATGAATCTATTGATCTGTGATTTCTATCGTGACTTTCTGACATTTATGATAGTTAAAAATCGATTATATCGCGTCGTGCATTTTATTTCCATCAAGTTTATATCAGATCTCGAATTATTATAATATAATTGGTTTCGCATTAGGTAAAGCTAACTTAAAAATTCAATTTAATTAATAGAAATTAAATTTTATCTTTTAAATGTACGCGAAAATGATGATGACGAAGAACTCATTTTCTTTATAACCTGATACTGTTTTTCTCGATCATTAACGCTAATGACTATATTTAACACTTTTTCGATAATTATCCGATGTTGTCGCATTTTTCGTTTCTCAAATTTGTACTTACGTGACATCAGTCTTTACGGCTCTCGTCTATCTTGGCGCGTTTTACGTTTCTTGATATTTAATGTATAATTGCCATCTTAAATTATTATCTGCGTTCGCGTGCTAGTCGTGAGTGAAATTTATAAAGCTCCATTTCACGTGAGACTAATATTTTCGCGTGAAAAATAATAGGAGGTGGGCTTTCGTTTCGTGCAAATTTAAAGCTGCGTGTTAATCTTCCGAAACGTGCTAATCGTGTACCGCTCGCATGGAGCGCGGGTACGCGCGTGCTAATGAATAAACGGCTAATAATTTTGGTGCAACAAAAGAACAATACCCGGCGATTTGTCCCCCGACACACTTGTGTTAATATAGATGTATAAGTATATAGGTGTAGATAAACAGGATCGATCTGAGAGTATTTATGTGTGCGTTAGCAGTGCGATGATGCTGCTTGTGTTCGACTATAGGAAAGAAAACTGAGGATAGATGGAGAATAGAGAACCGATAAAGAGGAGATTGGTGAAAGGGAGAGGAAGATAAAAGACTCGCGAAGTTGCGAAAGGGCAAAGGTGGGGAGGGCTGGGGGGGAAGAGAGGGTTCGCGAGCTCGTCGTCGTGTACCGCGCAAGGGCGGGGATTCCCCCTTCGGCCAATCGGATCGACTAGCGAATGCGCTCACCTACGGTACCACCGTCTTGCTGCTTGTTCACCTGCAGACGCCATGTCGTGACGTCATGTCTCATTAGGACGGGTCCCGGCGTTTGCGATATTGTTTTGCCTCTTGCGCGTATCTTCTTTGATCGCGAAAACCATTTGCGAAATTCGTTGATTTTGATTTTGGCGCACAAGAGATTATCATTGTTGAATACATCCTATAGAAAGTTTTCCGTATGCGCTTGTTGCGATAATGAATTATTATGGCGATTTATGATTATTATCTGATTTATTTATTATCTGCAATTATTTATCTTACATTTTTTAAACGCTATGCATAATGCTATTGCATTTGCGACTATTCAATCTATGGTCAAAATTGATTCCTTTCAAAAAATACCAAAGAAATCGTTGGTATCTTTATATGCTTTGTAATCGTTAATTGCTTTGTAGATTCTATAGTATGGATCGTGCATTCCAATCAAACAGATGGTCTTAATGACAAAATAGAGAAAACGACCTTCATGATAATTTATTTTTAATTTTTCGGAATACAATCAATTTTACCTAAGATATCTAAAGATACCTGAGATGTTTTATGCGTTGAATCGTAGCACAATTGGTTCCTGTCATGTTTAAGAAAATACCATTCTTTTCAATGGACTTTTATACTGACCATTAAGTTATACTGCTCTATTCAACTATTTTACGACATCCCTGTAGAGAACTCGTAATTAGTCATTGGTTAAGAATCTGCCGGAACTAATTTCTTTATGAGGTCACTGGACTGAAATTGTATTGAACTTTGCAAGCAAAAGAACAATGGTCGATCTCCCATAGTGTTTTTCATTTTACGAGGACATTTTATCCATAACATCGGAGACAGAGAAGATAAATGAATGACTTTCCTAAAAAAATTTTTAAGAAGAATACTTAACGGTGAAATTAAATTTATATTATCCAAAGAATATATATATATTTATTATTAATAAAAATAATGCGATGAGATAGATATAGAGAATATATATTCTGTATATATTCATTAAGAGCCACAAATACTTCATATCGATAGCTGAATCGCTCAACAAATTTCATCATGCTTAACTCTGTGAAGTAGGGTTGGTAGAACGTTATTAATTACGCGAGAACGAGCACCGGGCAGGCGGCCGGGTTCCCCCCCGTGGCGTTAAATTATTCGTACGCATCGGAGCGCGTCTTGAACGCGATTCGTAGGGAGGCGCGTGCATCCGCGTGCAACGCGCGTCGATCGCGATTCAAGAACGGCGGTGCCTGAGCGAGAAGGTAGTAGTTTCGCTGGTGGGGAATCACGGCGTGGCGGCGACGACGGCGCGGCGGCGCAGGAGCGTCGATGC